ATTGCCGATGTATAAAGGAACTGGTGTACTATGTGAGCAGGACGCCATCTTATCTTTGCTTCAACATTGTCAGTGTATAAGGGAATTGGAATATGTTAGCAGGATGCCATCTTATCTTTGCTTCAACATTGTCAGTGTATAAATGCCACGGAATTGTATACTTGAAAATGGCACATTTTACATTGTGTGTGTGTGTTTTACCACAGTTTACAAACAATTAATGGGAAAAAAAAGAAGAAGAAGAAGAAAAAGGAAAAACACCAAGATGTTAAGAAATAAATGGGTCAAGCAAGATTCCCAGAAGGGAACATGCACCAGGTAAAAAAGCAAGTGGATAAATGCGAAATCTTATGGGTCTTCAGAGAAACGTGTCTTCAAGCAGTGAGAGGCTTTCTGTCCTTTGCCAACTTAGCAAAACACAAAACATTGAACACACACAGACACTTTTTAAAAAATAATAATAGAGTTAGAAGTCAGTGAAGCTGAGCTCCCCGTACATTGCTGATAGGAGTGTGAGTAGGTTTTAACTTTCCTTGAAAGCTATTTGACAATTTGTATCAGTCTCTTTAAGTATTTTCTCACTTTCTTCAATCACAGTCCTAACTAACAGAACTTTTTTTTTTTTAATCATTAAAGTTATTTGTCCATTTTTAATAGAAAAGTTGGGAACAATTTTTAAGTAAACTCTGGTGATAGTTCAAAAGTCAGCAGTTTGAAACCCACCAACCACTCTGCAGAAGAAAGACGAGACAGTCTGCTTCTGTGAAGATTTACAGCCTTGGAAACCCAGCGGGGGTCACTGTGAATCAGAAAGGACTCAGTGGCAGTGTGTTTGGTCTTGAGTTTACGGTTATTAATAACGACGTGAAGAAAATACTAGGAAACAATTTGGAAAAGGGCAGAATGGCATTATGCATGGCATATATTTCTGAAGGCGTCCCTGGGTGGCACGCTCGACTGCTAACCAGAAGGTTGGAGGTTTGAGTTCACCTGGCAAACCTCCGAAGAAAGGCCTGGAGATCTACTTCCAAAAAATCAACCGTTGAAAACTATGGAGTGCGGTTCTACCCTGACACACATGGAGTCGCTATGAATCAGAGTTGACTCAAAGGCCAACTGGTACGTTTCTGAAATGGAAAACAAAAGCCATCCGATATAAGAAGGTCGGCCAAGAGAAGAAGACCTGGCCCTGCTTTTCCCAGTGGCTATCTCTAAGGAAGGAGCTCTGGTGGTATAAAGCCTAAGGCACTTGACTGCTAACCAGAAG